GCCTAGATAAGAATAAGGGACAGAGCACCGGGGATTTAGCTCAGTGGTTCTACCTCCTGCCTTGCAAGCACAAGGTCCTGAGTTCAATCCCCTCCACCCAAAGGAAAAAAAAAAAAAATGAGTAAGGGATAGGAAGAAGGCATTTCTCACTTGTCACTTGCTTTTGCTGCCTTCTGCCTGCCATGAACTGTTTCTCCTCTGCGATGCCCCTCTGCCATGCCACCCTGCCGTGGAGCCAGCTGGCTATGGACTGAAACCTCTATAAACTGTGAGCCAAAATAAACCTTTTATCCTTTCACTTTGAGTGTCAGATATTTTGTCTCAGCAACAAGAAAAGTAAAAGACACTTTGTTCCTGAAAGTGTGCTTGATCCTTTCTGACACTAAGCAAATGTGAGTTGGACCAAAGGAAGAACTCTAACACAGGTGTGGGCGGGCTTGCAGAGGTCCTTTTCTGGCCTCCAGAGGCTTTGGTGGAACAAGAGAGCCTGTATGTGGCCCCTTCATCCTGGGAGCTGACCCCTTAATAAAGGAAGCAGATGGGTGGCCAGGGGAGACCTGAGTTCCTTGTCTCCTTTTAATTAATTCATTAATTAATTGCTGTACCAAGGGTTGAACTCAAGGCCTTTGCACTGAGCTATGTTCTCCACCCATTTTAGTATTATTTTGAGGCAGAGCCTGCCTAAGTTCCCCAGGCAGGACTCGAAGTTGAGATTCTCCTGCCTCAGCCTCCCAGAAGAGAAGCTCCTTTTAAACCTGTTCTTGGTGTTGGAGGTATAGCTCAGCAGTAGACTGCATGTATGCATGAGGTCTTGATCTTGAGTTGGATTCTAGCACCAGGAAAAACCAAACTCCTTTTTACTTGGAGGGACAGTTTCCCCACCCAGGCTTTTGAGAAAAGGGCTAGAATAAGGGCTGCTGCTTACTCTGACACTCAGGGGCTGATCTCCCCTGTACCCCTTCACCAGGAATGGGACTGGGATCATACACACATGCACACACACCCTGGGGCAGGGGCCGGCAAGTGGCAACCTGTGGTGTGTACCTGTCCACTACCTGCTCCTAGGGACTCTAGCGGACAGAGCCCGTGGGCAGAGCCAGGTGTCAGAGGCTGCACAGCTGCCTCTGTCCTGTCCTTTGTGGGACACGCTCCGGCCAGGGTCCTCTCCCGAGTCCTCATTGAGGATTACATGCCAGACGGTTCTGAGAGTCTCCCTCCACCAGCTCCTGGCCCTGCCAGCTCCTGCATGGACTAGTGGTGACCCTTCGAAAGGGGCTGTGGTTGCCTGTGCCTTTCAGGAGAGCAGGGAGACACAGTCCTGGAGGTACGGATGCTTCTGCAGAAGGGGTGTGTATGGAGCTGAGTGGTTTCCAGGGCTTGCTGATTGCCGCTTACACTTTTCTCAGACACTTGAAACTTCTCTTGTTGGCGCTGGGTATTTAAACACCTGGGCCTTCACACTGAGCTTTTTTTAATTTTTAGGTTGAAACGGGGTCTCTTTAATTAAGTCAATAGTTTCTCAGGCTGGGTTTCAGTTTGTAATCCTCTATTGCAAGTGTGGTTTTAGACCATTTCTTTGGTACTGATTTCTCTAAAATAAGCTTGTGGAATAGGTAGGACGTGAGTTCTTTGGTCACTTTTCCATTGTGGCCTTCACCAGCTATTGGCACCTGAGTCGTCTAGGTTGGCATCCAGCCTCCCTCTGGGTGGCAGGCCTGGTCACCCTGAGCCTGGCACCAGGAAGTGCTGTGGAGGGGGCTGTGCTGGCCTGCGGCACAACACTATTTAGTTGGGCCTTGGAGGAGCAACTGCATGTCCTGAAGGGTCCTAACTGCCATTATTGGTTGTGTTGATGCCCTATTCTGAGCCTCAGTTTCCCCTCATCCATGGAAGGAGGGTGTTGAACTAGGTGATCTCCAAGGTGCCTTTAAGCTGGAGCTCTCTCCCTTGGGAAGAGGAAAACTGAAGAATGCAGTGGCCAGCCAAGGCTGTCTCACCCACTTTCCCTGCTGCAGACAGTGCTGGCCGCCATGCAGCTGCTCTGACAGCCTCATAGCGTGAGGTCTGTGCTGGTCTGTGATCACGGGAGGGATCAGGTGTCCTGTGAACTTCAGAGCCACCGTGTGGAGTGAGGTGTGGCTCAGGTGTCTGGCTGTGCAAGTGAAGAGGGAACCAGGCCGCCCCAGCCACGTTGGGTTTACAGCACGCGAGGGAAGACAGGAAGACAGGAAGCCGTGAGGCCTGGCTCCTGCCCTGGGCTTTGTGTTTGTGTGGTCAGGGTAGGGGTGAGTGCAGTCTGGGGGAGCCACATATATGGGTGCTCCAGGCCACTTCTGGGCTTCAAGGGCAGAAAAGGGGAGTTGGGAACTCAAGGGACTGGAGGTGCCCTTCCACATGGAGGGGGGCGCAGCACGGCTGCCCAGCTGGAGCTGGGTGGGGTTGGGGGTTCTGGCACCTCATCCCGCTGGCCTGGTGCTGAGCAGCTGTGAGCTCGCGGTTACCTCACCTGGTTTATAGTTCTTCTGCCCTCATCTTGCCAGCTTTGCTGTCATCTGAAACAAGTGCTACGGGAGGGGCCTGAATCTGTGGGACTCACCTTCACCCAGCCTTGGGGCCAATGAGGCTGCTAGGCGGATTGCTGGTAATTCCATCAGCAGAGCCCATTTGGCTACACTCCTTGGTGAACTAAGTGGTGTGCCCCTGACAACAAGATTTTCTGGGCCTCATTTTCCCTGTCTAGAAGGGGGTGGGTGTATGTCATTGGTTGGAATGGCCAGAATCAAGTAAGAACCAAGGAGAGGGGCCAGGGATTTAGCTTAGTGGTGCCATTTCTGCCTGGCAAGTGCAAGGTTCTGAGTTCAAATGTCAGTATAAAATAAAGATCCAAGGGAGAGCATTCAGGTCAGACTGGCATGACTTAGCCTCTCCCAGGCTTGGCTACTTGTACAGTGTGTGTGACTGCCTTGCTTCCCCAGAGGAGCCAGGGACAGAACAGGTGCTGTAAGGTGGCCTTTGGGGGATGTTCAAACCTAAAAGATGGAAATCACAGGAGCAGGACCACATGGCCTAGAGGGAGGGTTGGGAACAGGCATCTTAGCTGGATCAGTCCTGGAAGCTCTGTGCAGAGAACTTGTTATTTAAGGGGTCCCTGGGGAGGTCTGGCCAGGGAGGAGACATTGAGGGGGGATTTAAAATTAGCCTGGGTGAGCTGGGTGACCCCTGGGAGAACTGAGGCAGAGAAGAACTGTTCTGGGCCCTTGCCCACAGTGTCCCACCATCCTGGGGAGGGATAGGAGGAGGACAGTGACAATTGGTCAAGTCCACCCAGCAGGTGCCATGTGCTCTCAGTGCGCCTTTCTGGGGGACACTGTGCACAAAGCAAGGAGCTCAGGGGCTCCCCAACCCCAGCCCTCCTGGTACTCAAGAGGCAGGTGTCATCTGGCTGAGGAGAACAGGCGACCTTGGCCAGTCACTTTCCAGCCCTGACATCAGAGGGCGGAGGGGCTAGGAGGGGCTGGGGTGTGGAGGTTGGCTGTGATCTGGGGTCAGGAACCAGCAGGGAGCTCCAGGTGCCTCGAGCCTCCCCCGTGGGAGTGGGGGCCAGTAAGTGGCACAGCTGGCAGGGAAAGGGCATAGCCAGATGGGAGGGGGACACGTCCTAAGTGGCTAGTGACCTTGCCAGGAGTGCTTGCCAAAGACCCACGTGAGGGAAGATGTTTGTCCTTGCCTTGGCTGGGAGTCACTCTGCTGTGGGCGGGGTGGTGACATAGGAACCAGCAGCCATGGGGCTGTTTCCTTTACTCCTTGCCCTGCTGGGTGGGTGGGTGTGGGTGTGTGTGTGTTGGGTGTGACTGCCATATTGTTCCAGGTCCCTGATCAAAGTGAGGCTTAGCCTAGGTGTGTGGGGCCATCCCTAGGAAGAAGGGGTTGGGGCCCACTTTGGGGCAGCTGAGTGCTTTTGAGGATGGCCTTGAGGCAGGGTGACCGCTTGAGCTTTTTCTGAATCAACAGTGGGCTGTTGAGAAGACCCATGCTTATGTTAGCACCATGGGAGTTAGCTCAAAACAGGTTGAGCTTGTCGAGGAGGCCTCCCTGCCATTCCGACTTTTCATTATTCAGGAAGCCAGATTTGAGATGTGTTTTCTCCGGATCTAAACTGGAAACTCCCCTCCCTGGTCACTGGGTGACTGTGGCAGGCTGATCAGGGCTTGCTAGTTTAGCACCAGGTGCCAGCAACATTTAAATAGCATCAGGAAGTTGGGTAAATAGTTCTACCAACTCACTCAGGGGCCTACCTGCCACTCACGAGGTCAGGTTTAGCTGATACCTGGTCTTTAAACCTGGCTTTGCCACCGACCTGTAACCCCAGGGAGTGTAAGGCTTATACAGCGTTATTTGCCTCTTTTGAAGTTGGCACAATCCTACTTATCCTTTAGAACCCACCAGAATTGTTCCACGTCTGAGGACTTATCCATTCGCATATTTAGTAAATTTGTAGTTTCAGCCCTGTGCAAAGAGCTGGATATAGAGGCAAGATTCTAACACGTTCCCTGCCAATTAAGAGCCTAAGTCAAGGGGAAAAATAAGAGAAAGACGGAAGTGCTGGGGCCTGTTGTTGGGGTGGCAGGGGGTCTTATGTTGCATGTACATCTTTGCCTCTTCCCAGACCAAGTAGCCTCTCACCCAGAGAGCATCTTCTGAGAAAACATGACATTTTAGTGTGTGTGTGTGTGTGGTTTTTTTGTTTTGTTTTGTTTTGTTTTTTTTTTAGTTTATTGGTACATTCTAGGTATACAGTGCAGTTACATACATTCATTACTGGGATCTTGTACCTTTACATGACAGGAGTGCATTTTTTTGAGGGGTGACAAACAGGATTCTTTCTCCTTGCCTGTCAGCCAGCAATCCCTAGAAGAGGTCTGGTTTCCCACCTGAAGGAAGAGCTACCATCTCCACCCTCGCTGTCCATCTTTCCTCACCACTGCCATCTCTGTTCCCAGGTACGGACGCTGTTTGTCAGTGGCCTCCCTATGGACATCAAGCCCAGAGAGCTGTACCTGCTTTTCCGGCCGTTCAAGGTGAGTTCAAGGCAGAGCTGGGCTTGGGAGAAGCAGCAGGTATGAAGGAGACAGGAAGCTGGTGGTTCCGGGCTGGGTCTGCCCATGCAATATTCCCTTAGCTCTTCGGAGCCTGTTTCCTCATCTGTAAATAAGGAACCTGAGTAGACTTTGCCATATCAGGACCACTCGAGGGTCAGTGTAGCCTTTTCCATTTGCAGATGAGAAAACATAGGAGATAGGGTCTGTGTTCCTGGAGTACAAGTTAGTCGAGCACATGCGAGATAATGTGTGGTGTGGTGACTGCCACCCGTGTGCTGGACTGTGTGACTCAGGACACGCATGGTGGAGGTCAGTGTGGGTGACCTTGGGGGGAGATGGGTATGAGCAGCATTGGGGAGGGAGGCTGTGGGGTACAGGGCTCCTGACCAGCCACTTCTCTCTGCAGGGATACGAAGGGTCCCTCATCAAGCTCACCTCGAGACAGGTAACTGCTCCCCGGGGTTTGTCTCCCTCCCTGTCCAGACCAGTGGCTGAGCTTGGACTGAGGCCTGTGGCAGTGCTGTCCCTGTCTGTCCTAGAATGACAAAAGAGCACCCTCTGTGCCTTGCCTCTTTACCAGCTAGCTGGGCTTGTCAGCTCCAGGTCCTCTGTCTGGCTCTGGTGATTTGGGGAACCACTCGCCGGCCCTTGATGTAGGAGGCTGGGTCCTGAGCCTTCTAGGGTCTTCCAGGGCCTGCCCTGATTGTTGGCCAAATGAAGGTGGAGAAGTTTTCTGCACACGTTTTAAAGGGCTTCTCAAGCCAGGCGTGGTGGCACATGTGGGAGGTAAGGTAGGGTCACTGAGTGAGTTTGAGGACATCAGTGAGTTCAGGACCGGTCTAGAAACGTAGTGTGAAAGCTTGTCTCGAAAAACCAAAAACATAAAAAAATAAAAGGACTTGTGAAAGCACAGCATTTAAGACCATGAAACAGCTCTGCTGGCCTCGTTCCCCAGTGTCTGCTAGCCTCCGATGGAAGCTGGGCCGTGGGGCTGTGCACCCTGTACTTCAGTGCATGAGCCCTTCTCGTCAGTGGGACTGATACTGTCTCCAATTAGGTGACAGGCCTTTTTTGTCCCCCCTTTGGGGTGTTCAAGAAGGAACCCAAGGCTTCATGTATGCTAGGCGAGTGCTCTGCCCCAAGCTACAGCCTCAGCCTTGGTCTTTTTAGTTTGAGGGGGACAGGTGCCGGGAGAGATGCCAGGGTGTTCTTTCTTTCTCCTACTAGCCTGTTGGTTTTGTGATCTTTGATAGCCGGGCAGGTGCAGAAGCAGCCAAGAACGCACTGAACGTGAGTAGGCGGAGAATTGGTCTCTCAACAATAAGTGTCCCCGTCTGTCCTCTGCGGACCCTTCTCCTCCTCCCACTCCATGCCCAAGAAAAGGGGCTACAGATGGGCTTTAATTCCCAGCCGTCGCAGGGCAGTCCTTGCTGGCCCGTTGGTGACACATGTCACCATGTCCGTCTGAGCAGTGTCCCCTGCTCGCTGCTGCTCCCCTGTGGCATGCACAAGTCCGCAGCGAGCCGGTTTCTGGGGTGTCTGCTACAGTTGACAGACATTGTGGGGCTTTCACAGGGTATTCGCTTTGATCCTGAGAACCCACAGACCTTGAGGCTAGAATTTGCTAAAGCCAACACCAAGATGGCCAAGAGCAAGCTGATGGCAACACCAAATCCTAGCAGCATTCACCCGGCCCTGGGAGCACATTTCATCACGCGGGATCCCTGTGAGTGGTGCTCCAAGCCTCAGACTCCTTGTTGAGGGGCTTGGTCCTCCTGGTGCCCTTTCAGGAGCTCCTTGTGCCTGTAACTGCCTGTCTTCTAGACTGTGGCTTCCTTTTTATGCTGCATGGCTGCCTGGCTTCCGTGTCACCTTCTCTGATTTTTCTTACATGAGAGAGGCTGAGACCTGTCTCCCGGCCTCTTGAATGAAGTAGGGTGCCGTGTCCACATGGCCTCCTTCCCTGGTCTGGGGTCCTCTGCAGGGTGGGTAGTGGAGTCCAATTTGACTCTGGTGCTGGGTCCTGTTCGGTTTGGAAGGGGCTAGTAGGGGAGGCCAGCGTACTGATGACAGAGACTGTTGTATCCCATGACAGATGACCTGATGGGGGCTGCTCTAATCCCTGCATCCCCGGAGGCCTGGACCCCTTACCCTCTGTACAGCACGGAGCTGACCCCAGCCATCTCTCACGCTGCATTCACCTACCCGGCTGCCACTGCGGCTGCCACCCTGCATGCTCAGGTAAGCCCCGCACGGCTGCTGTGCCGTGGGGAGCTGTGTGTTCCTGCTCCTGGGGCTCTGGATCTAATGAAGGTGAGCAGAGAGCTCATCCAGAGGATGCCAGCTGCCAGAGCACTCTGGGCACCGAGAGGCCCTGCTTGCTCCTCCACCTATGATGACAGGACCATGACTCCCCCAAGCCAGGCCTGTCTCTGGGGCCGGTCACCTGACTCTGTCTCTTCCTTTCTTTGTGAACTTCACATGTGTTTGTGATGTCTGTGCATTGAGTTCTGCTCATCTGGAAGATGAGAATCGGGCCCCTGCCTCGGGTGTGGAAGAGTTGGGTGTCAGCGTGGGGACCCTCAGGGTCCTGGGAACTTTCAGGTGTTCACCCTGTTACTGTGAAGCCTGGACTCAGTCCACAGCATAGGGAGGAACGAGGCAGCCGCCACTCAGGCAGGGCAGAGGGCTCTGCTGCATGCTGTGTGGGACCCTGTGCTGCCACAGTGCTGGCCCTTCACAGGGGCAGTGTCAGGAGGGTTGGGGGCGGCCAAGTGACCATCAGGAGCATCATAAGTGAACTGGCTCAGCAAGGCAGGCTATGCATGAAGAGGAGCTCAGTGTGGGTTCGCACCTGGGCACTTGGAGGGGCTTTGTGACTTGCAGGCAAGGTGTGAAGTCTTAAGGGAGGGCAGAGAAGCCAGTGCCACAGGTCTGAGCCGGACAGGTCCACGGTCTGTGTGGGACAGCTCTGCCACCAGGGAGCTTCGGGATGGTCACCCTGGGCCCCAGCACTCGACTGAAATGAGTGCTGGGCAGGTCAGGGAGGGGTTGTGCCTGGTCCCCTGAGATACTGGCCTGTGACAGGCGGGGAGCCAAGGACAGTGGGTTTGTCAGGTCTGGCTGGGAGTAGCACACTGTTCCTCCCTGGGCTCCATGCCACAGGGCTGTGTGCCCTCATGGTATCCCTGCCCTTCTTCCTCCTCAAATGACTGGGATGGGACCTACTGGCTGGGTCAGGGTGATTGTCGGTACGGAGAAAGCACTGGGGGCTGCTTCTGCTGTGATGCTTATTATCTCTTTGGGACTGGAGTCCTTGTGGTGCCTGAATTTCTGTCCCCTGGCCACTGGGAGGAAGTGAAGACTGCCCCCAAAGGACAGCGGCATTTTTTGGGAGGCAGACTAATGACCAGTGCTGTCGTTGCTCTTTAAATTGGTGGGACACCATTTCCCTAATCGTAAACGTGGCTGTGAGGCCGGTGTCAGAAAGCATTTTCCTTCCCACGTCTGAGTTCCCACACCCCTCCCACCCTTCGTCAGCACTGCCTGGAGATGGAGGCTGGACCATCTGAATAAGGGAAGTGGGCACTGTTGTTCTAAGCAGGTGGTGCTGAACCCAGAGGAGCAGTAGAAACACCGAGGGCAGGGAGGTGACTGAGGGAAGGGAAGGAGCTGCTCAGGCGGGGATGGGCACCCACACCCCTCGTCCACCCCGGCCGCAGACCAGCCTGAGCAGGGCCTCCCGGGACCTGCAGCGGCCCTGGAGTTGGTTCCTCTGCTCGGCCTTGGTCAGCTGGCTCAGCTCCAGCCCTCGTACGAGAAGCTGTCCCCTCATGGGGTGAGGCACACGAAAGGCGTGGGTGGCGAGGATGGGTAGAGCTGGTGGCCTGGAAAGGGACAACTCCTCACAGGTGGGATTTTTTTTTCATTTCCATTGAGAAAGTGGGGGTTGTTCAGTGTGGCTTTCCTCTGTGAAATAGATTCTACTGCTTACCAAGGGCCCGAGGTTACATAACCCCCTTCCCTGGCGCCTCTGTGAAACTGGGCATCAACTGCGCAGGGGTTCGTAAGCATTTGGTGAAGTTCTTACAGGTCTGCACTTGGGCAGGCAGCCCCTGCCACATTGGCCTACCCTGTTCCTTTCTCCTACTTTCAGTCCTTAGATTTGGAAGGCCGCTAGGAGCAGTGGTGTAAGGAAATCCATAGATGCAGGTCTTTCGTCACAGTTACTGTTTGTGCAAGGGGGTAGCTCAGTGGTAGAGACCTTGCTGAGATGCCCCAGAACTGCAAAAAAAAAAAAAAGACTGTGTAGTTAGTTAATCTTTTTTGAACTCTGTCTCAGGACAGCCTGTCAGTAAGGTAGATCAGCACTTTCCCCACACCCATCTGAGTCCTTCTGACCATTCCAGGACAAGGTCCGGTGCGGGCTTGCAAGCCTCTGTTAAGCATTAGTTCCGACTTTCTGATGAGTGAGGCCCAGTGTTGAACCGCTCCTCGGATTTCCCATGTAGATTCCTTCCTTTGCTCACTTGTTGGTATCTTTTGTTTTGTTTTGTTTTGTTTTGTTTTTGGTACCATGGATTGAACTCAGGATCTGCGCTTGCGAGACAGGCGGCAGAACCACTGAGCTGAATGAATCCCCAGCCCTCACTTGGTATCTTCTCCGACAGTCTGAGATGTGAGAGGGAGCTGAGGCCGCATCCTCTCTCCTTGTTCTGAAGCAGCCTGTGGGGTGGCCCCTCAGGATCCCCCACTATTCCAGGGACAATTGGAGTCCCTGGGAGGACCTGACTGCAGGGTCCGTACCATGCAAGCCCCATTTCTGAGCTGAGGTCTCCTGATCTGCTTTGAGATCGGAGGAGGCAAGCTGGGAAGGAACCAGGCTGCTTCCCGAGGCCTCACATCTCATCCTGTCAGTGGTCCTGCTCTCCCCAACCTGTAAATGGAGCCTGTGGTCACCTGCCTCACTCCAGCTTCGGGGGATGTTGCTGCTCTGGGGAGCTGCCTGAGCCTCTCCCAGCTGCACAGCCCTGTCCCTCACAAGTCTGCCAGAGGGGCTCATAGCCTTGCCGCACTGTTTCTGCTGGGTGCAGGGTTCACCGAGGCAGCCCATGAGGCAGACTGACTCACCATCTTCTCGGTGGCGGTGCTGCTGACTCCTCGTGTGTCCTGCTCGTGTGGAGCGGATGCCAGGTGACTGCCTGAGGAAGCCGTGAGAGCCAAGAGAAGTTTCCCTGGCATGGTTGTCCCTCCAGAGGCTCCTTCTGTGTGGTGTGGGGGCCAGTGAAGGTGGTCCTGGTGGCCTGGTGACAGCAGTGCCCCGTACTCAGAGCCCCAGGGAAGTCCTGGCGTGGGTGAGGTGGCCTGGCCTGTCCAGCTGTGGAGCTGGTGTGCAGGGACAAGTGCCGGGCCTCTGCCTTCCTGCCGCGCTCCTGGGAAGGGTGTGTTGGCTCGGTGCTGTGCCACAGGAGCTCTTGGGAAGCTCCCATCGGCCCAGAGGCCTTGTACTGCTCGGTGTGCTCTCTGCTCCCCCGAGAGCTGGGTCACAGGCAGCCAAGCGAGTGACTGGGGAGGGTCTGGTGGCCCGGACCTCCCTCTCTTCCTAAGTCCCCACTGCAATCTGAAGTGCCCTGCACCCCTTGGCCTGGTGGTCATTTCCTTGACACTTCTCTGGCAAGTGCTGCCAGGTACTGGTAAGGGCGAGGCTGCCAGGCCCATCTGAGGGCACACTGGTGGCTGCGCTGATTTGGAGAGAAAGGAGGAAACAGAAGCATCAGCTGGGTCTCCTGCCCGGCTTCTGAAGAATCATGCTGGCTCTTTCTGTAGCTGGGTGAGGACGCTGAGACTCAAGAAGAGCATGGTTTTATTAGGTTCCTTCTACTGATGTCCGTCCTTTGTCACTCTCTGAGCAAAGAGGGAAAAGCAGATTGTTGGCAGCAGTGCGCCTGGCTGCTGAGTCCCCTGGCTGTGGCTTGGGCCTAGTGCAGTCCAAAGTGTCTGGGTGGCCTCTTGTCTGGAGGCGCTGGGGCAGGTGAAGCTTCCTATTTTTTGGATGGTGAAACTGGTCCGTGCAGCGGTGCCAGCCCTCAGTCAGTGACAGCCCAGTCACCTGGCTCCTGACGCTGGCTTCTCTTGCAGATGCGCTGGTTCCCGTCCTCTGACGCTGCCCAGCAGGGATGGAAATACCGCCAGTTCTGCTAGCGCTGCAGTAAGTGCTGGCCCCGGGGCCGGGACAGCAGGTGTCGAGATGCTGGCTTCCTGCAGGCCTGGAGGCCTCCCTCTGCTGGGCCCAAGGGTTACCCGGTGTGACTCTCCCTTCTCCTCACTCTGGGACCCTGCTAGCCCCACAAAGGAAGGCAGGCAGCTCCTGTCCCTGGCTCTGCTCATGGCCACCTCTCTCGCCCCTCCAGGTCTTGTCACCAGGGAGCTGATGCTGGGACCGTGTGGTGGGGCCAGTATAGGGCCCCAAGTTCCCGCCACCCCCGAGGCCCGTGCAGAGCTCTTGCTCCCTCCAAAGACTGTGAATCTTGCAGCTGTGGCCCAGCGGACAGTGTCCAGTGTCCCTTCCCTCCTCTTCCTCAGTATTGTGCTATCCCAAAACCCTCACCCAGGGCCTCCCGGGAGGATTTGGGGCCCAGCCAGGCCTGACCTCTAGCCCTCATTTGCTTCTATAGCTGCTCCACAGGGAAAGGTGTTCAATTTTGCATGTTTTCTGGCACGAATGAAGACACTTCAGCCTGTGTATATGAATGTACAGTTCACGCCGTCGCCATAGCATTGGGTCCTGGCATGCTTGGCCATCCCGGTGCCTGGTCCCTCCTGCCACACCCCACCCCTACCCGTCCCACTTCTGGGAGGCCTGGCGCCTGCAGCGCCCACACTTCAGGCTGTACAGGCCCCACCCAGCAGCTGGCCAGTGTCACCTTTCCTTTCAACCCAAGGCCCAGTGGCCCCCTCTGCCCACTCTGGTCACCTCTCCACAGTGCACCCCACCCCTGCGCTCCTCACTCTTTTCAAACCTCAAATTCAGCCAAAACGTGGAAAGTATTTTTGTACCCTGTGTAACAAAATATTTATGCATCATAAAGGATTTTTCATGTGTGTTCCATTAATTATTAAAGAGACCTTGTTCGCCCTGTCAGATACATTTTATGTTTAGTTTGAGCAATGAAGAGGAGGCGGTTTCCGTTCTTCAGCAGGGAACCCTGTGTCAGGCGTGGTTTAAGGAAAATGAAGGAAAAGTCCGTGCAATTTTTTGTGTTGTGAGCATACCGTGCTTTACCTTTAGTTGTGGCCACAACTGTCTTGCCATTTCAGACATGGGGGACAAGGTGGCTGTTGTACTTGCTGATCCTGTGAAAATGTGAAACTGGATAATATATGAAAATATGAAATAAAAAACTCGAAAGTGACTGCTCTGTAACCTCTGCTTTTACCTCCCTTGGGATGCTGTGGGCGCTGTGGGCTGGTGCGGCTGCCAGGAAGCTGGCGCTGGGGTGGGGGTGGGGGTGGGATCAGGGTTGGGGGTAGGACCTCGGGCTCAGGTGCCCCTCCCATCTTCATGGCTGACATCCTGTCCTGGGAGGATGTGGCTTTGTGAGGCCCGGTCAGGTCTGAGCCCCTCCTGATGGTGCAGTTGTGAAGGTCACGACCTGGATTCCTGTGGGACCTGTGCTCTTCACAGCCTGTGGTCTCCCCAGGCCCCTGGCAGCGCTGGGATGGAGCTTGGAGAAGGAGTGGCCCTGTGTCCACCCTGTGACCGTGGGCTACACCCAAGGCCTGGAAGGGACCTCTCCCAGGATACACAGGTCCCGAGACCCGGGCAGTACTGAGATCCTGGGCTGCCCAAGCAGCAGTGAGGATGCCTGTTATGCAGTCTGTAGTCTGGGTTTCCTCATCCAAGCAGGGCCACAGCACTGACCTGATGGTTTTACTATTTGCTTTTCCCTTCCACATCCATCCGGGAGCCACCTGTACCACCTCCACCTGCACCCTGCCTGTGCCTGGGATGCGGGGACCAGTCAGCTGCCTCACTAGCATCTTGGTGGCTTGGGCCTAAACGGGTGTGTTGGCAGCTGCTGGCCCAGGTTGGTGGTGAGGAGGGGAAGCCTGGGTGCCAGGTAGGGTGTTTGAGGAGCAGAGGTGGCTCTGGGAGGAGTGACACCGTCCCTGCCCCGCACCCTCACCTTGCTGCACTATTTGGACCAGCAGGGCACTGGCCAAGCCATCCGGGCCTCCTGCCTGCTGACTCCCAGGGCTGAGCATGCCTGACCTACTTCTGTGTGGGAACCACTGGGGCTTCCCAGGTGGTGAATTATTCAGCCTGGGTCCTTCTGAGATGGGCAGGAAAGCTGCTCCATAATTCAAAGGCCCCACGCCTGGGCGTCCCAGGGGCCGCGTCATGCCTCCCGAGCAGATAGAGGAGGAGAATGGACAGAGGCAGGCGGCTGGGCCCCACAGGAAGGCCCAGCACAGCCAGGAAGGGACGGAATCTGACCCACCTCCCACAGTTGGAAGGGCTCCTTGGCTGCTGTCACCTGCTGTCTCCAGGAAGCACTTCTTCCTGAGGGACATCATCCTGATCTCTGATGGCAGGGACCTGGGCACTGGGGGCCACTAGGGTTCTTTGGGTCAGGGTCCCTTCCCAGGAGCACTGAAAGTTCTGAGGCAGAAGGAGGCCCTCTGCGCAATGTCTGTGTCCCTGACACACACACACACACACACACACACACACACACACACACATCACATGAACGCTCACACACACAAACACGAACCTGCTGCCTGGTGCCCCATCTTCCCTGCCATGGTGATACTGCCCCTTGCCCCAGCGGTGCCTTTCTGGGGTACTGCTGCTGGCCAGCGGTTTTCAGGAATGTAACATCTCCAGCCTGTGACAGGCTGCCAGGTCAGGTGGTGGGAACAGGGTGCGTTCCTAGGAACTGGGCAGGATGATCTGTGGAGTTCTGGACGGACCACAACTCCTGTGCTACAGAGCCACCAGGAGCAGGGCACAGATGCTCCCTTCCAGGGCAGGCCCTCCTGGGACCCCTTCTGGCAGGTCCCCTGAAGCAGGGCAGGAGTCCAGAGCCCACCCTGGTGAGGGGAGAAAGCGGGCAGATAGATCACTGCCTTGAGGCTGATTGATCGAGTGACCCGCAGGGCTGAGCAGAAAGGAGTCCTAATGTCACCCAGCCCGGCCACACCCTCCAGCCAGCACTGACAGCAGCCCACTGACCTCCCTTATCTTTTGGGTTTTGATTGGGGTCAAGGATGGGGGACCCCACCCTTCACATGACCTTGAAAGCTAAAATCACAATGTCGGCAACAGCACTGACTCCCTTCCCTGACTGCTGTACCAGTGAGGACACTGATCCAGAGTAGACAGGTGACTGCTTTAATGTCAGGAGGCCAGTGCCTATCAGTCCACTCACATCTCCTGATCCCAGGCCATGCAATCTTTGGGGACAGCCGGTGCGGTTTCCAGAAGCCAGGGCAGAAGCTTGGGTCTGCTGTCAGCACCCCTCCCTCCACACTCTGCTTTCTGCCTTGGGTTTCTTGGCCCCAAGTTCAATCCCCAGTACCCAATAAATAAATAAAGTGCCACACACATTTTTTTTGGCTGGAAAGGGAAGCGAATCAGGAGGCCATGGACAGCACAAGTTCTGCCTTGCACAGACCAGGACGTTGTTTTCATGTCAGGATGTTTCTTATACCAAATTAAACAATTTTCATATCAGTTGACAATCAAGGTCTGATTATAAAGTAAAAAGGCTGGGATATAGTACAGTGGGAGAGCATATGTCTAACCTGTAAAAGGCCCTGAGTTCAATCCCCAGGACGGAAAATAAAAAGTATAAAAACCCAGCAGGCTGTGACCATCAGGAGACAAAAGAAAAAATGTATCTGGAGTGAGCGAGCAGACATTGGCCAGCGTGAGCTGGCGCTTCCCAGAGTGAGCAACTGCATATGAGCAGTACTGCCTGGATGGGAGGCCTTTGTCAGTCTAAGTGAATCACTTGGGTTTGCGGTTTCCAGTAATTTGAAGTTAGGGATCAGATGAAAGAAGGGAAGAGCCAACTCCACAGACTATCTCCACAAAGGGTCCTGTCACTGGTCCTCTAAGTCGCCTAAGAGCTGTAAGCTGTAGGCTCAGGGAGCAGCTCAGGGAAGGCCTGGGCCACACCTGCTCTCTCCACATCCTTGGTCCCAGCCCCTGCACACCCAAGGCCTGAGGCAGAGAAGGCTCCGTTGCTGTCCTGTGCACACAGCCTGCACTCCAGGCTCTGGGCTGGAGAGCTGCTGCAGTAGGAAGTCACCAGGAGGGGAAGGGTCAGCCAGACCAGATGCCTGTATTTCCCTCTCTCCCCGTTACTCTACTTCCTTCTCTGAGAGCCCAGAACTTGCCTCTGGGGTCCCTGGGACCAAGCTTCTGGACTTGGCTTCCTGGAACAATCACACAGCGGCTTAAGATATGTGCAGAAAGAAGATGCCCCATGTCCCACCCCAAGGTGACTCCACAGCTTCTGTCCTCTGACAAAAGGGTCTCTCAGGTTCAGGCTTCTCAGCTGGTCCTCAGTCCTGGAACCAGCTGTGAGCCTTCCAGAAAGCAGCTCGTGCTACAGGGAAGGGCAGGGAGGGAGAGGCAAAGGGCAAATAAGAATAGAGCAGATGCTCCCCGAAGCTGGGCGTGGTGACCCACACCTGTGATCCCAGCCCTCGGGAGGCTGAGGCAGGAAGATGGCAAGTTCCAGGCCAGCCTTGGGTAACTAGGGAGTTCAAGGCCGGCCTGAACTTTGTCTAAAGATATAAAGCCTATAAACCAGTGGCCACCACTAGACCCAAGGACCTCATGCCTGGGTATTTATTTGCATTTACTTTGCTTGCCATATCTATTTAAATCTCTCCTGTCCATAGCTGCCAGGTGGATTGGGCCACAGTGTCACTTTCCCAGCTTCAGAGAACTTTGCTCCATGCTTCTGTACACCTGATTCAGGACCCCCCGCCGTGGCTCTCGGTGTGGGGGTGGGGTGAGGTGTTCCCCCTTCAGGCCAAGACCCTTGAAGGTGTCCTGTTGGTTAGGACATCCTGGCTCTCCGCGGGGGCCTTGCTGAGCCCCTAGGGCTCTCGTTTCCTGATGTGTCTTTAGAGTGCCTTGTGGTCCCATAATGTCGTGCGCCCCAACAGTGCCGCCCTGTTTGGCCCTCAAGTGACTAAGGTGATTTAGCCCTGTGCAGGTGGCCTCCCAGGGGCTGGAAGCTGCTGGCCATGGTGTTGGGGCGCCCTCTGGTGTCCAAAGAGGCTCTAGCTGTCCCTTTGATCTTCCAGGGCAAAGGTTCCACCTGGGGCTCCTCAGGGTCCCACGTCCTGGGCTGTCTGGGTGCCTCCCTCCCACCCATAATTCTCTGGGGCAGAGTCAAGCTGGCTGTGATGCATGTTCGTGGAGCACCTATTGGGTGTGTGTGTAGATTGCATTCCAGATGGTAACAGAAGCTGTCTTGCAGGCTCTGGGGACACAAAAGTGGTGTTAGACCTAGAGATGTCATTCAGCTCCCAGGTTGACCTAAGAGGCAGAGATGTGCCCAGGTTCATCTGGGTTTGTACAAGTGACACAAAGCTCGGTTGTCCCAACGCAGCTCATGGAAGATCATGTCGGTCACCTCTAGGCCCTTCCAGGCCACTGACGAAAACCCCGGGTGTCGGGAGCCATTCTACATAATTTTGGGGAAAAAATTTTGGGGCGGGACACATTCCTTATCGGCTTAGCTCATCCCACTGTTTTAAGAACACTTTGCTCATCTCACGTCCTAATCAACCTAAACGCCTCATGGACCTAAGATCCTCATTGTCGTAGGATTCCTGCCACCGTCTGAGACATCTCATACTCCCTATGAATCCAGTAAATAGTGGGGAGCGGGCCAGGGATTTGGCTCAGTGGTTCTTCCTGCTGCCTTACAAGCCCAAGGTCCTGAGTTCAATCTCTGGAACGAGGGAAAAAGTGAGCTCAGAGAGAGTCTTTGTCTTTGCCCATTCTGAGGCACTGACCTCCCGGGCCCCCATATACTTTGAAATTACACAAGTCTCCGTTGCTTTTTTTCTTTAGCCCTCACTAACAACTTTCCCAGGCCATTGAAAATTTGATCGACTTCAGATAGCTGGGCCTCTGCAGTGACTGGCCAGTGGCCCTGAGTGCTGTAACCATCCTTGGCATTGTCAGCTTGTTTCTCATGGGGCAGGGACCTCATGCCTGAGAGAGTGACAGGAAGAGACCTCTGACTGTCACTGTCACTCAGAGCCTGGTTCCCAGCCCCACTCCAGCCAGCACTGCTGGGCACTGATCTCAGCTCTGGAAGGTCCTGTAGCACACAGGTCACACCCCTGT